AGACAATGAAAATCATATCAGTTAAACTTTGCAAAAGAGAAGTATTACAAATTGTATATTTTGAGGAGTTAAATGGAAAAGAGATGCTCTTCTTTTGTTTTTCGTAGGTGGAGAGAGAACGAGGAATAACCGTCAAGGCCCAAACGGCCACCATGTTCCACCGCCACAATTTCCATGGAGCCGACACGAATTTCCTGCTGAACCTTATTGACACGCCCGGACATGTAGATTTTAGCTATGAAGTCTCGAGATCCCTCGCTGCATGCCAAGGTGTCCTCCTCGTAGTTGATGCGGCCCAAGGCGTGCAAGCACAAACCGTCGCGAATTTCTACCTCGCCTTCGAAGCAAACCTAACGGTGATCCCCGTCATAAACAAAATAGACCAGCCCACGGCCGATCCTGAGCGCGTGAAAGAGCAGCTAAAATCAATTTTCGACCTTGACCCGAACGAGGCCCTTTTGACTTCGGCCAAGACAGGCCGGGGACTCGAGCATGTCCTTCCAGCTGTCATAGAGCGAATACCATCTCCCCCTGGAAAAAGCGATTCGCCTTTACGCATGCTTTTGCTGGACTCGTATTATGACGAGTACAAAGGTGTGATCTGCCACGTGGCGGTTGTTGATGGGGCTTTAAGGAAAGGAGAGAAGATATCATCAGCTGCAACTGGTCAGTCGTACGAGGTTTTGGATGTTGGAATTATGCACCCTGAGCTTACACAGACAGGTATCCTTTTGACGGGTCAGGTCGGGTACGTTGTAACTGGCATGCGCTCGACTAAAGAAGCGCGTGTTGGGGATACTCTGTATCAAACACGAAGCAGTGTGGATCCCCTTCCAGGTAAAATGATATTTTTCTTTATGGCTATAATGCAATTTTAGTCTTGTTGGTTTGACGTCATAGCAATTTCAGTCCCAAGATTCAAACATTTTGCCTTTTAGTCCTATGATTTATTATTTTGCTACAATTAAGTACATTAGTACTTTGAAGACTGAAATCGCAACAAAATTTTAAATTACAGGACTTGAATTGCTAATCGAAAATAGCAATTTAAATTGCATGACTGAAATTGCAACAAACTTTTAAATTACAGACTTGAATTGCTAACCGAAAATCTGGGAATTCGTTGCAATTTTGTAGCAAAATATTAAATCACAAAACCAAAAACAAAATTTCGGAACCTTGGGACTGAAATTGCTATGTTGTTTACCTAGCAGGACAAAAAATGCAGTTTTGGCATTCTTTATTGTGTTACGAAATATTTAGTGCTATTTCCTTGTTTTTTTCCTTTGCTTTTTTTTTTTCTTTCCCGAAACTTTCTTTTGGTTCTTGATTTTGGAAGGTTTCAAGCCGGTGAAGCATATGGTGTTTTCGGGGCTCTACCCGGCTGATGGGTCTGATTTTGAAGCACTTAGTAATGCCATTGAGAAGCTCACTTGCAATGATGCGAGTGTATCTGTTACAAAGGAGAGTAGCACGGCACTTGGGTTGGGCTTTAGGTGAGGATTATCTTTGTTCCTATTGGTGAAATTCAGTGTTTTGTGTGTCGTGTTTTTATGGTTTCTAATGTACGGCAGATGTGGGTTCTTGGGCTTACTGCATATGGATGTTTTTCATCAGCGGCTTGAACAGGTTTATTCTGTTAAATCTTTTAATAGCTGTTGGTCAGAAAGCAAAACTGATAACCCATTTCCACTTTTCAACATTAATCTTTTAGTAACATGATGTTTGACCATCATCTGATTCTTATTCTAATGGAGAAAAGGGAAGGATATTAAATATTTAGTGAATAAGCTGACATCCGAATCTTACAGCATTTTATGACCTACGTAATGAATATGTTTCATGCTTTTATGGAAATTTTTGACGATTGATGTTGGTCAAATGACTTATGTTTGGCCTATAACATTAATAAAAATTATAACAAGATCAAGGTTCCTTGAGTTGCTATGGAGCCATAACAGACGCAAACAATGATGTAATTTGAATGTATTTAGTTCAAGTGTTTCTAGATTGAAATATCAGCATGGACCATGAAATTTTCTTTAGCCGGCTTGTTATTTCCTCAAATGCCTTCACTGAAATGAATATACATTTTTTAGTCGAGTTTGTATTTTCACTTTAAAAAAAAAAAACAGGAACACGGAGCTCATGTGATTTCTACTGTTCCCACTGTCCCTTACACCTTTGAATTTGCAGATGGGAGGTGTGTGGCTTAATTCCACCCATTTAGTTTCATCTTCTCTCTCTCTTTTTTTGTTTTGAATTACTTTAATGACGACTGGTGATTTTATGTCTTTATAATAGCAAAGTACATGTTCAGAATCCTGCCATGCTGCCTTCAAATCCTAAACAACGAGTAACTACATGCTGGGAACCCACTGTATTAGCAACTATTATAATTCCTAGTGAGTAAGCTCTCAATCTCTGCAATGCCCTCAAGTTTAATATGTTTCCATTTTATTCAGAGAAATAAAAAATATTCACTTCGTGCAAACTGCAAGTTACAATTGGGTTTTACTTGAAGGTACGTGGGCTCCATCATCACCCTTTGTTCCGAACGACGAGGGGAGCAACTAGAGTACTCGTTCATTGACAGGTGACTATCCATTTTTCAAATTTTGACCGAAGAATAAAAACAATAATATATTAATGGTTTTGAAATATATTATTATAATAAATCTTGTGTTCCAGTCAAAGAGTACTCATGAAGTATCGATTACCATTGAGGGAAATTGTTGTCGACTTTTACAATGAGTTGAAGAGTATAACTTCAGGATATGCATCATTTGATTACGAGGAGTCAGAGTAAGATTTCCATCTTTTTTTTTTCCCTTTACCCACTCCAAATATGCAAAAACATATGTCGATAGCTAACTAATCACTGTGCGACATACAATTGTTTTTCTTAATAACAGCTATCAGGCCTCAGATTTAGTCAAACTCGATATTTTATTAAATGGTCAACCCGTGGATGCTATGGCGACTATAGTTCACAGATTGAAGGCACAACGTGTGGGTCGTGAACTCGTGGATAAGCTTAAAAAGTTCATAGATAGGTACACTGATTCATTTAGCATTTTATTTTTTCATTTTTCGTTTATTAGTATATTTGTTGGCTTTTGTTGATTCCCTTAGTAAACAGGCAAATGTTTGAGATTACGATACAAGCTGCTATCGGAGCAAAGATCATTGCCAGGGAAACGTAAGTCTTCACAGCCGTTTGCATTATCTTTGGTAAACCTAGTTGGTAAGCTAACTTAGAGTTTTTAAGTGAATTTCGAGCTTATAGCTTATACCTTATGACTTATAGCTGAAAAACTAGCTTATATAATAAAAGCGTTTGGTAAATTTAGCTAATAAGCTAGCTGAAAAATTTCAGTTGGCTTATTTGAAAAACTACGCGAAGATTTAAAAAAAAGTCGTCCTAACAAACGAAACTTATTTAAATACATGAAGCTTATAAGCTAATCAAATAAACTATGTCTAGCTTATATGCTTACCAAACACAGCTTTAAAAGGCTGCCAAGATTAACCAACCTGATATTTGTTTTTCTCATTTGGTTAACATTTTTTTCGTTTTTTTTTTTTTCAGTGTTTCGGCTATGAGAAAGAACGTTCTTGCTAAATGTTATGGAGGCGATGTTACCAGGAAAAGAAAGTTGTTGGAAAAACAAAAGGAAGGAAAGAAACGAATGAAACGTGTTGGCTCAGTGGACATACCGCAGGAGGCTTTCCATGAGCTACTCAAAGGTTCGTGAAAAAAAAATTCTTGTGAGCTTAAATGTTGTTTATCACCGTAGAAATGGAATTGTGTTGAACAACATTCATAACGTTCTTTTTTTTTTTGGGAAATAATTTGTTTTGCTTCTTTGTGGCAATATGAAAGCCTTTCAGACAATGTTGCCCAATTATTTCATGTAGATGAGTGCTGTTAAATTAAACGAGTCTGGTTCTGCTCGGCTCGAGTTCAAAGCCTTAACGGCGAGCTCGAGCTCATTTAAAGTCTATTGGTTAAGGAGTCGATCTCGGCTCGAAAATAGAATTTTTATATAATTTTTTATAGTTCGGCTCGTTAAAGTTCGAGCTCGAGACTTTAACAAGCCGAGCTCGAGATCGAATTTTAGCTCGTTTATTAACGAGCCGAGCTTGGCTTGGCTCGTTAAGAACTCGAGCTCGAATTTTAGCTCGTTTATTTAACGAGCCGAGCCGAGCCAAGCTGGGCTCATTAAGAGCTCGAGCTCCACTCGGCTCGTTTACAGCTCTAAGCTTACCCCAAATACACACACACACACACACACATATATACAAATTTCAATCCAAATAAACTTTTCTCTGAATTTGACTCGAGTTTTGGCTTAAATTGAGCTGTAAGTGTTTAGGTTAATTAGACTTATGATCGAGTTTGAGATGCTCGAGCTCGATTCATCCTCGGTTAAATTCGATCTCGAGAGCATGCTCAAGTCAATGCTATTTAGGTTTATTAGACATATACTCAATTTGAGGTGCTCGAGCTCGACTCATGCTCGGTTAATTCAATCTAAAGAGCATGCTCAACTAAACTCGATTTGGAGCCGGCGATCAACTTGTTTGGTTTGCACCCCAAAACTGATGTGAATCAAAACAACATTATAATATTGAATTCGAAGTTGAATTTTGCAGGTCACCGTCTATATCCCCCCATTTAAGATTCGTCACAATCAAGAAAATAAATATAAAAAAAAAAGAAAAAAAGTTGGCTCTCACAAAATCATTTGATGATGCACTTGAAATTACTCTCGTGTGCAAATCGTAACCTAAGTAGGTACGTACTTATTTCTTTCTTTAACTGTTCGAAAAATATGTACATCACCCTTTAAATGGGAAGAACTGCCCAAAAAAAAAAAAAAAAAAAAAAAAAAAAAAAAAAAAAAACAGAAACCACCATGGATAACAAAAAATGGAATGTAAGCAACAGAAGCCCCTATTTAAAATCTGCAAATTTGCCTCTCTTCATTCACTAATCACTTTTTCACGATCTTTGGTCCGTTATACGGTACTCCAACGACAATATGATCTTCCGGTTTTTCCCTCTCCTTGAGCCACGCATAGCCTTCTTTCTCGTTCTCGTTTTCTCCTGTTACCCAAAAACAAAAAAACAAAAAAAATTACCCCAAAAAAAAAACATTTTTTTTTTTTAAAAAAATTCAATCATTTTTTAACTAATCACTTTTTGTAACTCAAATATAACTCAATCTCACTATACTAACCATCACTTCACATCATTTATCTCCTACTTTTACATCAAATGAACTTTACTTATTTTATTTTTAAATATTATTTTAATATAAACTCAAATGGCCACTAACAACCAACAATATATTTGTTTTTTCAAAATTAACGTACCAAACCAAAAAATTCCAAACAAAATCAAAACATCTTATATCCAACCCCAAAAATAATCGAACACATGCGACTGAGTTATTGTTCGGATACCTGAGAAGCTAGCGAACCGAAACTCGGAATAATACTGACAATGGCGGCCATCAGGATCGCAATATGGAGGGCCAAGCACATCGAGCACCGCACATGCTGACTTGGCAGTAAATCGGTGCATGTTGCCACCTTCTGTGGGGTATAAGATCGAAGTCTTGCAAGGGGCCGTGAACTCCGAGTCAACCTTAATCTTCACCAATCTCAATCCTGCAAAACAGAAGGGAAATAAAAGATTTTACAATTTTGAAAAATAATTGTTACTATTCATATTACAAGTTTACAACCCAAAACTAAATTTATATATATATATATCAGTAAGTCTTGGTCAAGGAAGTAGTAGTTTGAGACAAGATGTCATAATCCTATAGTGGGATTTGAAAATGATTAAGTTATAGGCGTGCTAGAAGTTAACCGCTAGCGGGGGCAAATAGCATGTTTAAGAACAGTAGAACTAGAAAACAACAAAACCAAAATCAAAAACTATGATTAGGCCCTTAACTAGTAGTAGGTGAAGTCCCTAGCTTTCATCTTACATTCACTTGAAAATATTGTATAATTATATCAAGATCCATCTATTCAGAATCTTTAACACTACAAAACTTTGGGCTCCTACTAAAAAAAAACTCGCCCTACCAAACGAAGCTTATTTGAATACACTAAACTTATAAGCTAACCAATAAGCTATAAGCTAACTTATTTTGTAACCAAACATAGTCTGAATGCCACCATAGAAAATAAAAGTCCATTTTGTTATCAAATAACACAAAGAAATGACCTGCATATCACATTGTCCCGACTAATCAAAGTAAAATAACGAACATTAGTTTCAACGAGAAGATACTCTTCGGATTATTACCATTTGTTGTAGTTGTGATGTTCGGGTTTTTGTCAACTTCACTCGACCAGTCACAAGACTTAATGTGCATGGTCCCAAATAGTAGCTTGCTAAAAACGGTCATCCCGGGATGGTTGTGAAGTGGGATAACACTTGTTGGGGGCAAGCAAAAGATTCCGATCTGCAGAAGTATTTGCAAGATTCAAAATGAAGTCACAAGAAATAAAAAGGGTCCTTTTGGACTAGGGAGAATTCTTTAGTTACATACCGAGAATTGGTCACATTCATGGAGTTGCAAGTATGTTATGATCGGGCCTCGTTTGCTGCTGAAAAACGGCATATCGGGTCGTAGGCCCACATCAGCTTGGGTCATCCCATCTGCATGGATTAAATTTTTTTGAAAATTTGAAACAAAGACTTAAACATGATGGATCATTTCATAGTCATATCGTGCCTTATGTGCATTTATTTCTCCATAATAATAACATCAATATTATTCTCATTGCCAAACACAATAAGTCATTTGTTTAGAAAGAGTGAAATGTGATCATAAATGAAACAGCAAAAGAAGAGATTTTCAAATTATTCAGTTGTTATAAAATTGAATGAGTTAAATCATAAATGCAGAAGAACTGCTCGAATTACTACCAGCACTGCATGCAGAAAGTAAATTGAATGGCTCGGTTAAGAGGAAAACCGGTAAGTTCCGAAATACGGGCAATGGCATGCTAATTTAAGGGGCCAAAACAAACATATGTGAATCAAACATGTATTGAATCTCATAGTTAACTCAAGCACCCAAAAAGCTGATACCCAGACAAAAAATAGAATCTTAAATCAATCAGTCAAGCACTGCTAGAGCTTGCAGGGGTTGTACCTTGTGCTAAATTCGGGCTTATTACCACATTTTCATAACTTTCAAAATATAAGAATAAAAAAGAGAAACTTATGGCCAACAGCAAGTTGAGAAACAGCTAGAAACAAGTTACTCATCCCACACTGAAAAAAAAAAGATAGAAAAAAATTATAAACCATTCACTCAAATGCCATAGGCATAATTTTTTTTTTTTGTTAGCCAGCCACAGTATCCGGAGCTATGCCCCGACTAATCCGTTAGTCGACCCGAGACCCACACCTGACAGTGGTTGGTGGGTGAGTCTCCCAACAAGGGTTTTCTGCATCCACAAAGACTCGAACCTTAAACCTTGCTTAAGAGACATCGATTAACCACTTGAGCCAACCCCGGTTGGTTTCAAGGCATAATTTTTAAGTTTACCCAAAGAATTCAAATTCACATAAACACAAACAACTAGAAAAAAACAAAAGGGGGCATTGAATAAAAAGATCAATCAGTACCCAAAACGGCTGCAAGTTTTTCCACTTTGTCAGGTGTGGGGACGATTCCCGGCCCACAATCAGCAAAAACCTCCTTGCAAACCTCGTACAGCCGCTGAACCTGTGAAGATTTCCTTTGTCGCCGCTTGTTTTTCCTTGATTCGTTACTAACCTTATTTTTCCCACAACCCCTGTTCTGCTCGATCCCCATTAAGGAAGAAAAATATGTTCTTGATAGTGATAGAACAGGAAAGTACACAAAACCCAAATCCGTACAGATATTTTCCAGCTACAACGATAATCTGATCCGGGCCCAAGTGAAAATCTCCAATAAGTTAAAAAAATTGCTAAAAAGGTGTCAAGATTCAATCTTTTTCCCAACCCAGTAAAAAAAAAAAACAGGAGAATTCAAGAGAACTGTCAAGAAAAAGATGGAATTTTTTTCTATTTCTATACTAAAACTGTGTAATAATCAGCAGTTTCTGGACATGGGGATGAAAAGAGTGATAAAAATGTGTGATTTTGTTTCTCTTTTTCCACATTTGAATGAAAATAGAAGTTGATCTGGGTGGGGTTTGTCGGGTGGGGTTCTTATGTTATATACAGTTTGTTATCAAATGAGCAGAACGAGAAAACCGTGTGCCTGGTTTGTTAGTTCCAGTGGGCTGTTGACAAGAGCGGATTTTTTATCTCACTTTTTATTTATCTCTTTTTTTATTTATTATTTTGTTTGATTCTTTTTCAACTTGGCCGACTTTCCACCCAATTTGCCCCTCGTGGAATTAGGAAAACTCCACTTTAGTTATATCTTATAAAGCAAGTAATCATACAATATAAGCTCCGAGTGAGTCGAGTCGAGTCGAGTATTTCGTGTTCAATCACGTGTTCAGTTAGTAGATGTAAATTTTAAACGAGTTGTTTGAAAACATTAAATGTTCGGGCCATCTCCCTTTTCGCTTTTTTTCCCTCTCTTTAAGCGATTTTTCTTATATTGTCCTTGACTGAAACAAACCCTTCTTTCACTTCGCCGCCTCCTTTTCAGCCATCTGCTTCAATTCAACCGACGTGAGGGCATCCCTTTCTCTACGTCTTGTCCCGGATTGTCGATCCCTTGCAACACTTCTTCCTGCAACGATGGTTGTGGCGGGGTTGTTCGGCAGTTTGGGCGGTGGAGAGTGAAAAGTCGGCGTTGTTCACCGCTGGTAGCAGATGGGGGCTTGGGTCGGCGTGCCTTGTCCGACTTCCCTGGGGTTAGGAGCCGGTGAGGGGTTGTCTTGTGCGTCTTGTGTCGAGGCGATCGAGGTTGTTTGGGGGAAGGTTGAGGGGCAAGCCTCCACGTGTTTTTTCGTTCGGGAGCCACAGGGGAGTGGGACTTGGCTCAGGAGTTAGATAGATGTAGTTAGCCAACTCTTTTTTAGTTAGTTAAGAGAGTATCGTAATCTGCTTCTCGGGTTGTTGTCTTGCTTGTCTTAATTTATGTGATCGGGTGCCTGGCTCATGTTGATTGTTCGCAGCATCTGTTGGCGGTCTGGGAAGGCTTTATCGTAGATATTGTTGGTTGTTTGGTTGTGTTTTTTGGTTCTGTGTTTATGTTGTGAATGTGTGTCTTTGTTGTAGTGTTTATTCTCCTTTTAAGAGTGTGTGTTTTTTTGTTTGAGAATTTTTATTCTTCACTTGTGGGAGTCTTTGTAGTTTGTTTGAGTGTTTTCTGTTTGTGTTGTAGATTCTAGGTTACCTTTAGGTAGGCCTCAGTTTTGAATTCACCCACACTTATTCGGTTAGTTAGCCACTTGTAATTATGTGTTATTAATGAGATCTATCATTATGAATATATATATATATATATATTTAGTACATGGACCTTCCGATTTTCGGATCCACAGGGGAACAGACTAATTCGGAATCGAGCCGGGTAGGAAACTTGCTTGCTAACGAACATTTAATATATATATATATATATATATATATATATATATATATATATTAAATATTCGTTAGCAAGCAAGTTTGACTAATTTTTTCGTTTAAAAGAACTCATAAAAAAAATTAAGTTGTTTGCGAACATGCTTGATTGTCTCGTTTGCTCGATAATTTTTCGAGTTGGGTCCGATAAAGTAAATAAACAAGCCGAACTCGAGTTTTTACGAGCCAAACTAAGATGTGTTTTCGTACAGTTCGGCTCGAATAACAACTCTACATGCAATGTAAAAGTAATGGATAGTAAATTTAATTGAGAAAAGTTGCTATAATCTTTGTGAACTCATTTGTATATATAAATAAAATTTAATAATAAAATCTAATTGAGTGAAAAAGAGATAAATTAATATTTTTTAAGTGGGCATATACTGTTTTTATACATGTGAAGTACATTCATTTGAAATGTCGTACTTTAAAAATAATATAAATAATAATAATATAATAATATACAAGTAGAAAATAGAATTTGGTATAGTTTAGATTTGGCCAACCTCATGTCTCTACAATTACTTTTGTCTCAAAACTAAAACATATGACCAGTCTAACTTTGGTAGCATTTGGTCCTACTGGCGAATGCATTGTTTGTTTACTGTTGGATCAACAAAAATAGTCACATTGTCCGTAACAAGAAAGCGTTATACCATCCTACATTGTTTCTCTTTATGGTCAACTAAATTGGTTAAGATCTAAAACCCGTTTGTGCATCATCGAACCGGTTAGTAGAAAACTCATCAATAAGCGTTTGTTAACTAAAATATACATAGTTCTTCACATTTGTTTTTCTTTTTTTTTAGCCAGCCATGATATCCAGAGTTATATCCCGATTGATCTGTTGATCGACCCGAGTCGCACACCTGTCAGTGGTGGGTGAGTCTCCCAACAAGGGTTTTTTGTATCCACAAGGAATCGAATCCGAAACCTTACTTAAGGGACGTCAAGCGAAATAAAGTAGATTAAAATGGAGAAGTTTTATAGATAAAAACAAGCTTCTACATTTATTGTTAAAAATTATTATTTTTTTTAGTAGTATTTTAGGGTGAATTCGACCCTACCAGTGAGTGAAGATACTATCCTTGTTGGATATTTTGTTAGTGAATCACACACACACACTCGCACACATAGGTGATACAACAATAAAACCTCCCAAATATTTTATATTTTAAGAGCCAATGGAGATTTTTGAAAAGTAAAACAGTTTTTTAATGACTACAAATGTGAGCACAAATTATTGTTTAATTTATATTATTATTCGTTTGGGATTTCGATTTTCGAGTGACATATTAGAACTTTTGAAATTTGAGACTTCTTAAGATTTTCAGATTTTGGAGGAATCTTGTGAAACTTATGTGGAGGTGGGATTTTGAGTTTTTTTTTTTTTTTTCAAAATGATAGATAATATTATAAATCAAAATACACAAATGTGCGAATGCACAACAGCCAATGGCTGAATACACAACAGCCAACAGCTAAAAAAATGAGAGGACAGGTCAGAAACTGCCTAGAATCCCGACTAGCAATGATAGAATAAAAACACTCTAACAACTAAAAGAACCGACTACACGACTACCAAACACAAACACAAACTAAAACTAAACCAAACTAAAAAAAACTCCAACAGGGTAATACCCGAGTATGAGATCTCAATGAATAATAAGGTCACACTCGGGTAAATCGAGGCCAACGGCCCAAACCTAAAACACAAATACAAACACAAACACAAATACATAAGCAGACGCAAAACATGAATAAGAAAACCTATACTATTAATAAATATTTTCCTTCCCCAACGAAATGCTAAAACCGACCCCGAGCACTAGCGAAAAAAGACTAACATCCTATTAATCGTATATTTTATTTTTTTTTTTTTCTTTTGAAATCTTATTAAATCTTAAAAAAATTTAACAAATTATAGTCTCAAATAAGTTAAATATCTCATACTTTTGTAAGACTTTATAAAATCTTAAATGACTACCTCAAAATTTTTAAAAATTTTAAAAAGTCTAAATTAAATATACCAGAATTTCTAAAATCTTATTAAGTCTTTAAAATTCCCAAAATAAATACACCTCCTTAATTTTTGAACTCAATTGAGAAATGGTCCAGTGAGTTTTTTATTTTGCAAATCAGGTCCAATGAGTCTGCCATGCTATTGCTAGTCTTTTTTTTGTTCTTATTTGCATATTGATGCTTGCAATGCATGATAAATTATTATTATAATTATTGTCATTATATAGACAACATTTTTTTTTTTTTTATTGAAAAACATACAAAATCAAACTTTATCTTTTGACTCAGCTATTTTTTCTTTAAAAAAAATCATTAGTGCTCAATTATTATACCGATAATTTTAGATAATTTCATGATAATTTTAGATAATTTCATGTTTATACGAATTCTTTTTTACTTTTTATTTTTTCACTCTACATTAGAATCTACAATATTATCAACTTTTCACACTAAATCCAGTTTCCATGAGATTATTCACAAGAATTTACTTTACGATGGTTGAATAATGCTACCCAAATGGGTAGCATGCAACTACCATGAGATCAAAGTAAAAATATCCACATGGATACCTTATCCTTAGGGTTTAGTTTAATGTTACTTGTTTGGGTGCGTCGATTTTAATTATTAATATAATTTTGACCGGCACGTCAAAATCATATTGCAATTGGATTTATGTCACATGTAAAAATTATATAATATATATATATAT